ATCTTTTGAGTCGTGATCCGGTTTTATGGGTCGATAGAATAGCTGCAGTCTTCCGACATGTTCAACCGTGGACGCATCAAGCATGCAATCCGAAGAATACCGTGCAGAACGGTATTTATTGCCATGTTTTTTCAAAATTATATGCATTATAAATTTATTGGTAACTTTTGCTCGTTAATTTGACCTAATTTAATTTATTTTCATTCAGGAAGTTCCACAAATACAAATGATAATGTTCCAACACTATGGATTGCAACTGTGAAAGAAGTTTGGCCGTTTGTTTTAGAAACTTGCAGAAAATATGAAAAAAATACTCGAGTCGTTGAACATTGTTGCCGTGCGATACGATTTATGATACGCTTTTTGGAAGTTCATTCAATTATTTTTATTGAATCCCTTGTTGAGCAGGTTCACTATTTGAAAAATCAGAATTATAAAAAAAATAGATATTTGTTGTTCAGTTGCGTTGATGACATATTTATTTTTTAGTTTCAAACATAGTTTGCGAAAAATAAAAAAATTAAGGTCATTTGGATAACTGTCGTCTCTCTGTTATAACGTGTAGTATAACTTCTAGATGGTTGATATATATAATCGTCATCCTCATTCATGCTTCCTGTATTTGGCCAGTATTTTGGTTGATGAATACGGTCATTTGGATAACTGTCGCTCCGGATTAGTTCATATGCTTAACGTAAACTTTTTACGATTGATGAATTTTTATTGAAGAATTACGTTGTTTGTATCTATAATAAAGTATGTTAATTTACAAAAGATCTAGTTCTAAAAAGGCGGAATATGTTATTTTTTAAATTTTTCTGCTTGTTTTTACAGATTTTATGCAACGATTCGTTCAAGCTACTGCAGGAACAAAATGGTTTTCGCAATCATCCTGATACAATCGATGATATGTTTAGATTGGCTATCAGGTGATTATTTGATCGTACTCCAATCTTAACCACTAAGTGAAAAATATGCTTAAAAAAAGCAACAATTAACACACAATTTAAAGGTTTGTTTTAGGTTCGTGCAGCGTGCGCCGTCAGTATTTTTCCAAGAACCAATGAGTGCACAGTTGTTTGAATGTGGACTGGTTGGTTTAGGTGTTGATCACGTTGATGCAAACAGATCAGTAACCAAATTTTTTTCCGAATGTATTACATCGTTACTCATCGCGAGAAAGGTACAAAGAAGTTTAAGTTTTTCAAAATTCAGAAATTGTGAGAAAAATATAGAGGAACAAGGTGGCGAAGGCTATCTCTTCGCTTATATGCAGACGAAAATTTCATTGATTGAGTCTATTAATTTTATTGAGTCAATTATTTATAAACGGATTAAAAACAACTTAAATGAACTGGGTTTTATAGTTGAATGTTGAATAATATAATATTGCAGTCCAATTATCGAGATGCAGGTGTAGAAGGAGCTGAACAACTATTTTTAAAATACGGCGAGAGACTGATTAGCGGGTCTCTTCAAGCGGCAGTATTCAGCGTTTCGGGTACTTTAAAGCGGGATATGGCTGAAATTATCTATTTAATTGGTAAACTATCGAAAGAGGTAAATCTATTGTTAAGCATTTCTAAAGGTCATATTAAATAATTCAAGAAGATATACACACACACTATTAACATTAGTGAGGATATGAAGGTTTTATTATTATAAATGGATATAAAAAGATCCAAATGCTTCGGAAGTAATCATTTTTCTGAAATTGACGATAGCTTTGAAGAATGTAACAAATTTCAGCAGTTATCTGTTTGGTTGGAAGCAACGTTGGAGAAGTTTCCTCACAATGAGGGTCTTTGTGCAACGGTAGAACAACTAGAATGGTTTCACAAAAATGTGCTGGAGTAAGTTGCTAAATTCTATTTAATTTAATGCAGTCCAAAATAAATTGATTCCCTTTACTTTTTACTGCTCGACTTCCGACGATTGTCTTTAAGCTATTCTATTTTAAAATCTTTTTAACTCACATTGTACTTACTTCATCTCAGAACAATAATGTCAAATTTTTGATTCTTTTAGGTCTGCGGATTTACGACAAGTATACGCTCAGATTCGTGATCTAATTCGACTTTATATGTAACAAATTGATTTGATTTAATGCTTTTATCACTTATTTTGAATGTTAAAATCTACGCATATACCGTGATTTCATTCTGTACATTTTTCATCATTTGATAGAAAAGAATAGAAGAAAATGACATTTGGTGAAAACTATGTGGGAATATTACTCCACAAAGTTAAAATAAAGAATTATATCTGAGAAGAGTTGAATTTTGTTTTTTTTTTTCCTTTTTTATATATGTATATCGGGTTTGCGTACTACTTCTAGGTCGCTTTACAAGATTAGGTTCATGATTATTCTTGTTATTCTTTATTGCTTTGCACTAGTTTTAATATATATATATATATATATATAAATCTTAAGATTTCGCTTGTTTTCCAAGCATTTTTTTCAATTTGGTATCTTTTGGTAGGTTCTCGTTCGATTCCTGTTTTTATACTATTGAATTTTTTTCGGTTTGTTAAGTTTCCCCATATATTTTTTCGGTTTGTTAAGTTTCCCCATATGTTAAGTTTCCCCATATTCGCTTTCCTGTTTACCTTTACGACTTGGAAACTTTAGACTTCTGTTTTTTATAAAGTTTCCTTCAATTAATTCAGGAATTTTTCCTAATAATTCAATTTTTTTCATGAATTGTAAGTTTATAAGAACCTGTACTGCGGGTGTGCTTTTGTCTTCTTTCTTAGTTTTATGATTTGCTTTATTCGAAATTCATTTGATGAAAAAGAGTAAATGCTGTATTTACTCTTAAAGTTAAGTTTCCTTTGTGGATAAAAAAAGGTCCAAATATAATCAAGAAGAATTCCATGTCCTATTTCCAGCGCAATTGGTTTTAAATCCTTTGGCATATCGACCAGTAATTGTTGGAATGTGGAATTCTTAATACGTTGCCATCGGTGTTTGTCTTTCTCTAATTTGTTGCAAACTTTTTTGTTTCTGATAACTTAGCAGAGTAAGGCTTCGATAAATTCCCAGTTTGCTGTCCTCTTGATCTTCGTGCTTGCTTTGCCTTATCGTTTTTCGCAAAGAAGAGTGGATGAAATGCAGGAAATAGTATTATTTAATGTAGTTGTTCATCTTGGATGATATAATTGAAATATTTGATATGAATGCTTTTTGTATACAATATTTTTTGTATACGATCCGTAACCAAAATATTTTTAAAGAATTATCTTGAATTCAGTTGTTCGATGTTGTAGTTTCTAATATATATTTCATGCTAAATGATTAAGAACAGCTTTGTACTGTCATTTTAACAATGATTTCTTGTTTTCAATAAGCTCGTCTCGTACATTCCATCAACGCATGAGTCATCTTAGACTACTACAACATCTTAATGCTCGTAATGAAGATACAGAAAGATGGGATTAGTTATTAACTGAATGAATGCGTTATATTCTCGTTACCATCATACTTCCCGTATGCCACATTTTTTTCATAAGCTTATTCCTTCCTTTTTTTCCCGAATTTGGCTCTAAATGTTGGCTATAAAAATTGGATTTACTGCAGGGATTTAAATCTAAATTGTCCTGAAATTCTCCGACAGGTATGGTTACGTCCTGAATTTCTTCGAATGGTATGATTACACGTTAAGCATTGGCTTTCAGTTTTTCTTGAACTTGTTACGAAGAGTAATGTTTCGATTTTAATTGCGTTGACATTATGTGAGTTGATTGCGCTGCTTTCTTAGTGTTGTCCTTCTGTTACTTTGAGGACATATGTAAGCGTAAAAGCAGTACTATCACTATATAGTCAGTCTATTCTGCTAAATTTTATCAGTTGTAATCTTTTTTTTTTTTTTTTCAAATTCGCTGATTATGTTGAACAACAGTTTTTTTGCAGTGGTAATTAATTAATGGAATACTACCTGCGCGATGAAACTAATGTAAAAAAAGAAATTGCATCAAAAAACAGTTATCATTGAGATATTGATGACCATATAGAAAAAATAAATGGAGTTCATTTCGTTGCTATAGCAATAAATGACATCTCATCCATTCTGAGTACTTTTAGTCAAATTTTCGATTTACTCACTTCAATTATTCTACATAACTTCAGCAACCCCAGTTTCTTTTTCATTTATTTTTAAAAATTATTTCCTCCTTCCTTCTATAAACAGTTTTTATTTTTTTTTTTTCTTGTAGAAATGTGTAAAAATTGTGCTAGAATTCAGTAATTCAAATTCGTTCTGACTATTTTGAATTGGAATAATATTCAGATATGACTTATTATTTCACCTGAACCATTGTAAAAAAGTTGGAAAAAGGCAATAACAAAAAAATAAATAATGTAATGAAATAGTTTAATTCATTCCTGACTAGTAGAAATAGGAGTATGAGAAAAAAGTATGGTGTCTTCTTGATAGTGCTGGCATGTCGAGATTTTATGTGACGAGATGATAAAGAGATTTCTAGGAAGACTTGCTTAGTTTGAACAAGTCTTTCATTTGGATATGAAACTTTAGTTTCATTCTTCTATTAAAAAACAAGGCTAATGCCTTTAAGAATTAAGAAGTGCCGACACATGTTCAAAAATTCATTAATTCTGGTTAGACAAGCCCGAAACTAGTTTCATTAGGCCAAAATTCTTTATCATTAATAACCACACTGGTTTTATCTAAATCAGAAGACAAAGCATAATAACACTTATTTTCTGATCAATCTTGTGAAAAGAGCACTACTTCGAAATTTTCAAACACTTATCGAGACAAAAAAATTTTAATTACTAAAAGCAATTAAAATTTGCTGTCTTGGATGGGTGGTTAAAGGATTTGTTTTCGTCTGAAGAGTAATTTAATTTTGCAAAGTGTTATAACAAAAAATAAGTGACTAGCAAAAATTGGCAAATGTGGAAATTGAAAATTTCTAATAAGAAAATGAAAATTTCTAATAAGAATTGAGGATTGTTAATTGTCCGAGAATAGGAAGAATCAGATCGAAGAATCACATTTTATTTCAAGCAGATCCCTATAAAATACACTGGAGGAGTTTAGCATTTGCATTTGGGAAAGGATGCGTCTAGGCTCAGATATTACAAGCTTGGCTTTTACTGGAGGGCCATGCCCATTCTCTGCTAGCTCTATAGAGTCTACGGCTAAATCGATGGTAATTTCTTCCAAGCTAATCCTATTCTGAATAAAGTGGCAAAGTGGTTGACATTCTGAACGGTTAAGCGATGAGCCGTATGAATAACTCCGCATGTTTTCAGTTTATTACAGGTATTGCTTACTGGCATTGTTTTAAAACTTCATAAATCATAAGAGTATCTGATTTTAAGTTTATAATTACTGAGTTGGCAAGCAATGTTGTCCGGTTTCTCTTTTATTTCAATGAAAAAAAGGAAAATGCTAGATATTGTGGAAAGAGATCGAAGTGTTACTGTAACTAAATAAGGAGGAAGCTAGAAAAGGTCAAAAATATGACCTCTTACCGATTAAGTGAAAGAGAATTGTGAATAAGATTGTAAGTATTAAATGAAAGAGTTTATTTATCTTTTGTTTGCTGCAATCTATACGATTTCTACAAACAAATTCTGCTATCTAGTCTGCTTCTGTATCTTTTCAAATGCATTCTAAATTTGGAATCTAACATACCACTTTCAGCTAATTTTTATTATACTTTCTCAATAATTTGACAAATTGATTTATTGATTACTTCTTTAACAAAATTGAGAAAATATAACTAAGATGACTTAAAAAAGAGTATACAGTTAATGGAAATCGACATAAGTCTAAATAAGATTTGTTTTGAAAGAGTTTAATTAATTAGCCATAACATGATTTCTTGTTTATAAGTTCTCATTAGCTGAGGATATAATCCTCATTTTATGGATCGTAAAATCAACAAGTGTAATCTATGTAGATTTTATGTTATAATAAGGTTACTTTTGAAAGTTAACTGAAAATTTTGATAATAGTGCAGAACAATATGTATCTTTATGATACAATCGACATTCAGTGTGAAAACGTGAAATCATCGTAATCACGTCGCATTTCTTGTATCGTTACTCAGTCCTCTCTTCATTCTGTTGGTGCTTTTTAGTTACTTCTTATCTGGCTTTTTCCTCTTGCATTATATCATAACTAACATAGTTTTGTACTGCAAATAACTGTTTCATTTGAATTATTTGGAATCAAAAAAATTAAATACTTTAGGTAATTCAGTGGTGAATATTCGCGCCGGGACAATGAGTGAAGAAGAACTTAAAATGAAAGCTTTAAAAGAGCTGCAAATAGCCAAGGATCCTGTGGAACGGCTGAGGCTGCAATGCTTAGTACGTGGGAATGCTGGAATAAAATCTTTGGGACGGTTTGTTCATTAATTGTAAAATCGCCCATAATACATAAGGTTTTTCAACGTATTTGAGAAAAAAGTTCCTTCTTTTAAAGTTACTAAATGTGACTTCTACATGAACTGAAGTCTCACCTTATACCTAACTTTGAATCTAAGTTTCATTGTATACAAAATATGCATAACACATCTTGTGGCTTTTGTAAGCAAAAGGTATGTCTATCACTTATAAAATTACTTATTTTTATCACATTAGTAGTATTAAATCGAAAGAACATTATATGGATTTTCCTATTGCGCATAAATTTTATGCCTAATCTTTAAGATGAATATAAAATTCTTGAAAAGCACGCAATAATGCATAACTTTTTTCTCCAATTCTTTGGGGATTTTCAGTGGTTATCGTACTTACCGTTATCCCCAATGCTCATTAATAAGCAAATTCTCCTCGCTTAATGAGGGAAGAAATCCAACTAGTAGACTGTTTTGAGGAAAACTTTCAGAGATTTCATAATAGAAGTTGACAATAATAAAAAAATCAAATTCTAGTGGTGCGATCGCAAAGATGAAATTTGAATATTGTCAACATACATGAATATGTCCTCATTTTTCTCAACACCATTTTACCAATCATTTTGCTTATTTAGTGCTATTCCAGTATAAAATAATTTATGGTGCTTTGTGATTCCATCGATTTCGCTGGATTTCTCTTCCTTATTAGGTCTGTGTAGTGGATACGTTTGTATTATTCGCCTTCGCGGGATACTGACCAATGATTAATCAACTGACCGATTGACAAAATGTTAAAGTAACTTCGAAATTTGAATTTTTAAAGAAAATCTTCAGATCATTCCGAATTATGGATGATAATGGCAGTCGTACGCTTGATCTTGATGAATTCCGGAAAGGTTTGCATGACTTTGGTGTAAATTCAACTGATGAGGAAATTAAGGAGATATTCAAGAAATTTGATAAAGACAGCTCTGGTTCCATCGATTTCGATGAATTTCTCTTGACGATTAGGGTACGTTAAGTTTGATTTCAAAGCTTTGGGAATTTTCTGGATATTTAGTCATCATATGAGGCTTTCAGACATCGTACGATTATCGAATTCTGAAATTCTTCAATAATTAGCTGAAAGCAACGAGAGAGAGAGAGAGATTACTTATTGTTTTTCCAACAATTTTAATCATGTTTACTATGAGAAAAAAATCTCTGTTAAAGGCACAAAGGAATTTTTATACTTTAGAAATCAATATCAAAAGTATTTGATAGTTTTAATATGCGTGTGTGTTTATCTTTCTTTTCATTAGTATTCTTTGGATCAGTTTTGGGACATACTAAACAGACATTTTTACCAGTCGGAGAGCAGATAATGATTATTGTCATATATTCTCTCTTGCAGTATTTCAAAGTTGGGAGATTATGCGGAATAATTTAATTAAAAAAATAACAATTGTTAGCAGGAAAAAGGTTCAAAATGAGAAAATAACACAGTTTGTCATTAAATATCTAAATCTAAAGAAATAGAAATCAGCTAAAAATCTAGGTTAAAGCTGACGAAAAATTCTAGCCACCGATGTCGAAAGCCCGTTTAGCGCTTATCGATGCAGCGTTCAAAAAATTGGATAAAACTGGCGATGGTATAATTACAGTGAACGACATGAAAGGGGTTTACCATGCTGAACGACATCCAAAATACATATCTGGTGAGAAGACTCGTGAAGATATCTTCAATCAGTTTCTCAGCAATTTTGAAATGACAGGTCATATTGATGAAAAGGTAAACATTCATATTATCATATTACGATGAAATTTCCACCTGGTTTTTGCATTCTGTCATAAGTGGACTAATAAACTAGTAGTGTCACTACTTGGCTTTTATTGAGAGAGATTCTTCCCTTAGGGGAGGCTGTCTTATTAAAAAGAGACTTAGCTTTTCGAGATAAAATTTGGTTATACCTATGTACAAGGCAAGGTGAAAAGGAATTTATGCTTTATAAAAAAGATATATGATTATTATTGGATGACAGTTAATTTTTCCATTTTTTATTTTCAGGTAACGAAAGAAGAATTTTTGAATTATTACTGTGGTGTGTCAGCTTCTATTGATAATGATGCCTATTTTGATTTAATGATGCGAAATGCTTGGAAACTTTGATAAATCATTATGATTATGGTAATGCTTATCACTGCTTGCAATAGTTTTAGCAACAAGTATTACAGAGAAACATCATTTGACGTCTCAGTTGTTTCTTATTTTTTCTTAAATTTGGGCTCTCAAAAACCAACAGATAAAGAATAAAATTACAGATTTATGATAGCCAATTCAAAGCATTCTTTTCTATAAAAGTTTGATCTAATTAGCGGAGTTATTTCTTGCCTTTGTAGTAAAGTGCTGGATAGGGTTATTGGCGCAGTAATTCTTATTTTTCTTACATTTCCAAATAAACAATATAAGTCTAGTGGTGTGAACAAACAATATGCAAAACGAGGGCTGATTACTGAAATCAATGAGACTGCTTCGAAATAAGTCACTGAGGTTCAAAGAAAAACACAGTTTTGAAAAGTTTTGATTTATATACTTTAGATTTAAAATAACACTGATTAGAAAAACCTAAGCATTATCCTTCAGATCGTTGTTTCGACTGTGAAAGTCAGTGACCAATCCGATTCTGTTGCAATTGCTTGAAGTAGTATCTGCAGATTTATTATTAGATTTAACAATTGGAACTCATAACTACAATACACACTAAAATAACTGACCTTAGGTTTGATGAATTTCAAGGGTATTCTTCGAAGATCCGTTAGTTCTTTTACCAATACATTTTTCGAATTTCCATAATAAAGATTCATAGCATAGGGTAGCTTCTGCAGAGATTAACAGTTAAACGACTATCTTTCCCCAAAAAATTTCATGAAAAAATCCATCTACTTATTATTTCTTAAGAGGAAAGCATAAATTTGAGAGCGTTGTAATTGTAAATAGATTTAGGAGAGGGTGTAAATAAGACTATGAAAATATAATATATTGTAAAACTGTCATCTACTAAGAGACCGGGACGCCACCTCACTAAGGAGAGAGAATGAAATGCATTAGGAAGATAAAAATCAAATATTAGGACATTTTGAACCAAGATATTAAAAACATATTGTAAAAGTTTATATTTATCTTTAAAGTCTTATTCCTGAAGAATACAGAAAATGCAAACCATTGGACCAGCTATACAAACAGCAAAATAGTCACATTTCCAAATGCGTACATCGACATCACCACCAACCTCCTGACCGTTTCTCCAGAAATAATCAGCTAACGCCACATTCTCATTTGTCGTAGGTTCACGTAACTCTACCCGTCCCATATAAACAATCGATTCGGAAAAGATTGTGAATGCGCACAGACAGTTCTTTAATATCATTTTATTTTAGCTTAAAATTTTGTATCTTCAGTTTTTTTTTAAAAAAAAGGAAAGATTAGAGTTACTATGGAGTAATATCATTGATAAAACTCCCAACGACTCACCTGCGAGAAACCAACACTTCTCGAAGGTTTATCGCTTTAAGGACTATATGACTAACTGTAGAAACGAGTAAAAACGCGTTAAACTAGTTAAAGAAATTTAGTGCAAACCTTAGGCATTCGAGTCACCTAATTGCTTAAGCAAAATAAGACAAAAATAGAAATATAACATTTATCAGATCCAACTGTTCGTTATACCCAACGCACATCAATGTCATCCAGGTGTCTTCTAATGATGGATCATTATCTGCCTCTACCTGAAAAATATTTAAATCTTTTCTATAAACTCACCTGTCTCAATATAACAACATATCTCTTCGTTGCTACTTTCAAGGATGAAAGATGTTTTAGAAAACCTGATGAAGTGCGACAAAAGAATTTAGCAGCAATTCACCATCTTCAGCCCCAAAATTTTGACAAAGTATTTCCCATTCCTGAAAATAAAATTAACTGATCAATATTTATCACTAGAAATTGAATATAAGAAGTTTACTAGCTAACAGATAGTTGAAATAGTTCATATTTCGCCACGTCACCCAATTAGTAGCGTAAATAATAATAATAATAATAATAATAATAATAATAATAATAATAATAATAATAATAATAATAATAATAATAATAATAATAATAATAATAATAATAATAATAATAATAATAATAATAATAATAATAATAATAATAATAATAATAATAATAATAATAATAATAATAATAATAATAATAATAATAATAATAATAATAATAATAATAATAATAATAATAATAATAATAATAATAATAATAATAATAATAATAATAATAATAATAATAATAATAATAATAATAATAATAATAATAATAATAATAATAATAATAATAATAATAATAATAATAATAATAATAATAATAATAATAATAATAATAATAATAATAATAATAATAATAATAATAATAATAATAATAATAATAATAATAATAATAATAATAATAATAATAATAATAATAATAATAATAATAATAATAATAATAATAATAATAATAATAATAATAATAATAATAATAATAATAATAATAATAATAATAATAATAATAATAATAATAATAATAATAATAATAATAATAATAATAATAATAATAATAATAATAATAATAATAATAATAATAATAATAATAATAATAATAATAATAATAATAATAATAATAATAATAATAATAATAATAATAATAATAATAATAATAATAATAATAATAATAATAATAATAATAATAATAATAATAATAATAATAATAATAATAATAATAATAATAATAATAATAATAATAATAATAATAATAATAATAATAATAATAATAATAATAATAATAATAATAATAATAATAATAATAATAATAATAATAATAATAATAATAATAATAATAATAATAATAATAATAATAATAATAATAATAATAATAATAATAATAATAATAATAATAATAATAATAATAATAATAATAATAATAATAATAATAATAATAATAATAATAATAATAATAATAATAATAATAATAATAATGAGAGTTACTTTGATTTTACGCTCGAATTCACGGTATAGTAGTCTACAAGAAAGTTTGCACTCAAAATGAATATCTGCATGCGTTTCTAATATAAATTTAAAATAATTTTTAGTACATAATCAAAATTAGTGAAATTTCAATGTGTAATAGAAGCTAGAAGCTGTCATAAATCGCGGTGTCATTCATAGCAAACGAATTAAAATAGAATAAATGTTTTAAATGCAATTTTAATTCAGCTATGGTTTTAATTCCACGCCATCTGTAAAACCATTAGAAGCAAGACAAAGGTTCTTTCTGTGGAAAAAGATGTAAAAAATATGCTTGACGTTACTTTGTGAGTAGGTTTGCTCAAAAAAGTCATTATGCAATCATTTATTAGAGCAGATAATGACTCGAGAACTAGATAACATTGATTTTATAGAAATGCTAAAAAGGATATCACTTAAGGAAAATATTGATCGATCTTGTCTCTGAACTTTTGCCACTCATCTCAGTGGATATGAGCAAGTTAAAAAAGTAATACTGCCGGTTCTAAAAAAAAGAAAAGAGTGACTTGTGATTGGTTTATCGATTTAGCAAGGATATGGACTTGGTGTTGACCTAGAGCTAATACGAGATTTATACAAGTAGTGCAGTGAGTGCCACTAAATGGTCAATTTGCATTATAAATTCTATTTTAAAAGTGTATTCCTTTAGATATTTTAAATTAGTGAGATAGTGAAAATATTAGTAAGAATATAAAATCCTTAAGACAAGCATTTTAATTATTCTTGATGCAAAGACAAGACTTGAAATATATCAAATTCTCGTCTAGCTACCATTCCTGATTATATATATACCTGTTATATGTGCATACATATATTAGGTTTTCATACCATATTTATTTCTAATTCTACTTATCTCAAATTCATGAAAATGGCAGGTTGAATAAGCCTTCTCCACTGCTGGAGAAAGCTTATTCAACTGCTGATTTTCTCAATCCATAAAGCTATCGATTTCTTCATTAACTCTTCTGTGCCATCTTACGTTATATGTGAATGTAAATAAAAGTCACAATCTAAGAGTAAGTTTTTGTAACTAACATTAACAATTCTATGTTTTTTCAGTCTCCAATGATATCTGAAGGCTTAGTGTTGCATTTATAAAGGTTGACTATAAAATATAAAAAATCCGTCGCGTAGAAAACTAATAGCAAACTATAAGGAAAAATAGGTTGTTGTCCGGACCTGATCAAGAACATGCTCATCACTAGCCAGTGTATTGTATATGTCAAATTCCTCTCGACTTAATTTACCGTTTTCATCGAAATCGAACAGATCAAACATATTCATCAGTGCCATCCTAAGATTTCAAATTTACTACAATTCCTCAATTCTGTTTTCTTCTAAAGAAAAGTTTTTAATTGTAAGATTTTTCAGGAATAATTTAAATCACATTAATTGTCGAAGAAAATTGCAAATTTTATAAATGACATATTAGAATGCAAATCTTCAAAAGAAGACGATTTCTTTAATACCTTGAAAAGTAATAAAACCACAATATTCGGACATCTGTAGTTTCTTTTTACTGACTGAAACAGATAGACAAACTTACTTGAAATGCTTTGTCAATTTTCCATTAGAGTCTAGCAACTTCATTTCATAGCTTGTGGAATTCATAACTTTCTCCAAGCAATGTGACGATTGAACACTGATTATATATTCGCCTGCTTTCAAGAGGCATTCTTCACTTAGATATTTCTTGAAATTAAAACAAAATTTGATTAATTAAAGCTCAAATAATTATTTTATCATCGACAATCCATTTAGTTCATGAGTGATTATCATTCACGTTTTTAAAGTACTTTTCTTTTTTAAATAACATAAAAGAATCTTGTTAAATCCAATATAGACTTTTACTGATGTAAAATAAGCCATAAACATTTGTAAACTTTATTTCAACATAAAAGAATTTCATATTTGCTTACAGTTTTTATATAATTATATTACTGTTAGCTTCGTTGGCATTACTGGTCAATATGAATAAGTATTTCTTGTTACAAAAAATTTCTTTTTTTGTTTGAGGAGATTATATTTAAATAGAGATTGTAATTCACTATTAGT